GACAAAAAGACCAGTTTCATCATTAACAGTAAGCATATTCAAAGTACAGATGAAAAGCATTCGGTTATTTTTAGGCCCAAATTGGATAAGCAACAACAGTGTATAGCTCATAATAAAATACGGGTTCAAAATGCCTACAAATTATACAAATGCTCATTCCCTAATCATAATTCTAAAGGATGAATTACATCAAAAGATACTCATCTCAATTGATCAGAGTGCACATGATCACCAAAAGTTGTTCATTATCAACAATCACAACATCTCATACTGCATTGACCATTTTGCTCCCGACATGTTCAGCTCAAATTCTTCACACCATACATCAGGGTCTGTTGTTTGCTCTAGGAACTCAGTATACGGGTTGTATTTTTTCTTCCTCTACAACTGCAATGAAACTTAGATTACTGCATATCTCAAAATGGCAAAAACATGTGAACAATAAGTAGAATTTAATGAATACCGACAACTTAGTAGGTGCGTCTGTGACACCAGCACCCCCTGCAGGGGCTTTCTTTTTCGGTGCCTACGACAGATAGAAATTTCATTAACAACTAGCATATGCAAGTGCAATATACTGAAACAGGTTAAAGAACATTGGACATAATTGATAATACAAGAACAACATGGAAGATCAAGTCATATTATAAAAAAACATACAGGAACATTATAGGAACTGAATAACAATCCACAATTATACCCAATCTCCAATTATGGCTGATGAATCATTAAACTTCTTACGTTGGTACATTTAGCTTTGCTTGCATCATATCCTAGCTCAGCTAGGGTCTTGTTCCTAGAGCCCTTAGGACGACCATGAGGCCTCTTTTGAGTAATTGAATCATGGACAACAAATCTTGAGCTGTTTGAAGCATCGGTTTGTGTATTGTTGGGAATAGTTCCAGTGTCCGGTACATTACACGGCTTAGACATTGGAGTACCTCCTGCTTGAGGGGGCAGATTTGATGATCCTTTTTTAGAGCAAGGATCCATATGGATAGGTCGCACTGCAGGAGCATTTTTAGCCAAGTGAAGTGCACGGCGTAGTCTGACCTTTGCGCGTAATTTAGAAACTGCTTCTCTGACAGCCTCAATTGTATCCTCGTCTACATTAGAGGCTTCATCACACAAGGCCTCAAGGTCAGGAATGAGCTTGTTTTAGCGAATGCATTCTTTGGTTTGAGTTAGGTCATGATAGGCCACTTTTACACATGTGTGCCTCCGCAACACATCTTTGTGCCATCGATCAAGTACATATTTCGATGGTATTTCCTTCACCAAGTTTTGATAAAAAACTCTAATGATATTCTTACAAAGAATCCCATCCTTTTCAAATTTCCTGCAATCACATGTTATGCCTTTGGTAACAGGATTAAATACCAGTGAGAAAAACCTCCAATATTCAGTGAGTTTTTCATCATTTGATCCTTCGGGAACAATCCATATTCGATCTTCAAGCAAATAATGAATTTCATCATCACTTATTACTGTCTCAGATTTAGGAATTACATACAACATCTAGCACATTCTTTTTGCACTTCTTGGAACTTCACATCAGTGTAAATTTGTGGGAAGTATATCTTTGTTAGTACCTGCTCACATGCCGTCTTATGTATATTGCATCCCTTGCATCTGCATCGGTCTTATCACTTACCCTCTTCTTCATTACATTGCAGTACTTTTCGGGGAACTCACACAACTTTGTTTTGTGGGTGACAAACCCATCAAAAAACCTGTTGATGCTCTCAACCCTCTGCTTAGTTTTCATACTGGCCCAAAAGAACTCTTTCATCCAAGCTAGCACCCACCTGTGCCGCTCAGTGAACAATTCTTGAAGCCATTCATTGTCCTCCAAACCATACATCTTCATTGCTTCACACCATCGGGAAATTATCGTATATAATATTTTTCAACGGGCTCTTGGAATCATTGTACCTGTGTTGTTCAATGTGTCACTGACCTACCTAAAGAGACAGGCTTAAATACATATACAAAAACCTGAATTCAAATTGTTCCATTCTAAACAATTATGTTTTCTGCCAGTGACCATGTACAACAACCAGACTTCAAATCAGTGTATAAACAATTAAGTACTCCTTTTGCACACGTTCTGTGAGTCAAGTAGTTAATTAATACTAATCAACCAACATACATGGTATTAATTACAACGACAGTTTACTACCCTTAAATACTCCTTGTATGCAATGGTAACAGACATGCGAATATGATGTTACAAACAAAACAACAAAAAAAAAACCAGAAAACTGCAATGGTAACAGACATGCCAATATGATATTGCAAACAAAACAACAAAAAAAACAGAAAACAGGTATGTTGTTCAGAACAAAATAAGATGTAATCACAACAGAACAAGTATGTTCAGAACAGAACATAAACACACACTACCACTGCGATGATTCAGTTTTAACTGTCAGTGTAGGTAGATTTAGTTAAGTTTCATGTAAGGGAACAGTTATATTATAAGAACATAAACAATTTTCAAAAAATAATCTAGAAAACTTACAAGGCACACTTCCCAAGTCTATCAGGAAATTTCTGGAGAATATGCCAAATGAACCATCGATGGCGTGTATTAGGCATGATTTCGGCTAATGGCTTCCTCATAGCAGGGGCTTAGTCAGTTAGGATGGCAACAAGGGCTTTATTGCCCATGCAAGACAACCATTGTTGAAATATCCACCGAAAAGTATCAAAATCTTCATGAGAAACTAAGGGCACAACTTAATAAGATCGACTGGCCATGGTGATTGAATCCTACAAAATTAGCAAATGGTAGCTCGTACTCATTTGTGAGATATGTGGCATCAAAGAAAACGACGTCACCAAAGTCTTCATATGCTACATGGCTCCTAGTATCAACCCACGTGACGTCCTTCAAACGACCTTGCTCATGCAACCTATGCGCATGGTAAAAATTTTGATTATCGGCTTGCATAAAATCAAAGTAAGCCATCATGGCTTGAGCATCTCCACCAGCCATCTTAAGCCGTCGTTGCTTATACACCTCATGCTGTTATCCTTCACATTAGGCAAATTACCATTTTCCGTGGCTAAATATCCACGGACTTGAGTCTCAGGTACACTCACCTCAAAATAATTCAACAACCGCTTACGAACAGTGGAGGTCATCTTCTTCATACAGTTCTCTTTCACTAAATTTGCCATACTTGGACAAAGAGTATGAGTATGCTCCAGAACCACTCTTTTCAACAACCAAAGCCCTTCACCATTGACACTTCAATAAACCCTAGCTTCACAATTACATTTTTTAGATTTCCTTTTCCCATGTGAAAGCTTTGCCTCCCCGATAACACCATTCACATTTCCTCCACATCCGCCAACATCCATTTTCTTCGCTCTTTTCTTAGCCTCTCGCTTCGCCCTCATATCCGGTGCACCCCAACATTCACACCTCCAAGTGATACCCTTTCTCTCTTTACTACTTGTATATGATCCTTGAACCCAGCTAACCCCAAAGCCACACTGCTCAGCATAGCTTTTGTAATAAGACTCAATATCCTTCCATCTTTTAAAAAACCATTCCGACCTTTAGAGGCTCAGCAGAGGTGACCACACTCACCTTATTTGTTGACACTATTGTTTCTATGGTCTCTATTGTCTTAATTGGGGAACATTGTTGGTTTGGACTACAAGAGTTGTCATTTATACATGGTAAGGGAGAATTGTATCCAACAACCTGTGTAAGGGATATATTATCCAAGTTTTCTTCATTTAAAGTACCATTGCCTTCATTTTGATCATCATCTACACCTATCTCCATCAATGTACAAATCTCATCTCACGCCACCCCTCCTAAGGGACTAATTATGTCTGCATCCATTTTAGAATTCTCATCCATCACCCACAACTACCAATTAACACTAACAACAGAATTCAACACATAACTAACTGCAAACCATATAAAACACATAGCAGGTATCATCAACTACAACAATTTATACAATAATGCAATTTTAAAAATCCAACAAATAGGAAAAACAGCAAGCTCAAAGATTGAGTCAAGTACAAAACATTTTTAGACTTAGCCTATGATTTGACACAAAATTAACTAACACATAGGACAATTTTCCTAATGTGAACCTTGCATTACCTACAATCGCAATTAGAAATCAATTCACCCTAATCAATTTTACTCCAAACAATAAAAATTATAAAAAATATACCACTACGCAGGTTACGAATCAACAGTTATGAACAATTCACACTACAAATTCAATTGACTAGGCGATATGAACAATTTACACCTCAATTATAAAGGACATTGAACTTACCTTTTAGAGAATAAATATCAACGAGGATGGCTTTGTCCTCTCAAACATTCTCTCTCCTTATTTTGACACCTCATACTCTCTTTCATCCACCTCATTTCCCACTATCTCTTTTCTCTCTTCCATCCTCTTCCATTTATTTTTCCCACATCAAAGGGTATCCTCTTGATGTATTTTATACTATAAATATGGCCCCACCTTCAAATTTTATCTTTGTGAAGGATTATTTTTTTATTGATTCCTGTAATGATAAGGTCTAATAATAATAATAATAATAATAATAATAATAATAATAATAATAATAATAATAATAATAATAATAAGGATTCGATAATCAGCATGCATAATAAAAATTACCATACTTTACCAATATTTTGATACAATAACATATGAAATTAGAAATAAAAACACTAATTGATACACTAAAGTACAATATATACAGAAATTAAGGACAAATAACTAATTATCCTCTTTTCTCCTTACCGATTACTAGTATGCCCAAATCTTGCCCGCAAATGTTCTACCAAATCTTGTTTAAGTGACATATGAGTTTGTTTATCGCGGAGATTTTCTAGTGTTGCCATTAATGTGGTTAGATTAGGATTTTGATAGCGCGGGGTTACGGTGAAAGTCGTTGCTCTTCGATTTGAAGTTCCCGCTAAATACTCGGGTTGCTCAGTAGCAAACTCATTAGGATCCTATAGTTAAGATAACTATCGCGCTCATCTTCACGATCATATTGTGCATGATAATACACGCCATAATAATTTTCCACAACATTTCGACACTCCATGCCAAAGCAGGACGCCTTATTATGGCAAATCGAGCTTGCAACACTCCAAATGCACGTTCTACATCTTTTCCAATACTCTCTTGTTTGGTAGTAAACAATCGTTGTTTAGGGGTTTGAGGTGTAGTTATCGCATCTATAAATGTTTCCCATTTTGGGTAGATCTCATCTGTGAGATAATACCCTTGATTGTAAGTATTTCCATTCACGGTGAATTGAAACTGTGGAGCACGACCATTTAAAATGTCGTCAAAGACGGGTGAACGTTGAAGGACATTTATATCGTTGCACGATCCAGGTGTTCCAAACAAAGCATGCCATATCCACAAATCCCAAGATGCAACAGCTTCTAAGATAACCGTCGCAGTTTTTGATCGTCCTTGATACATCCCTTTCCACCCCGCTGGACAATTTTTCCACTCCCAATGCATGCAGTCGATACTTCCCAACATACCAGGAAAACCTCTTTCCACTCCTTCTCTTAGAAGGCGATTCATATCTTCAGGGGTTGGTTTCCTCAAGTACTCTGCTGAGAATTCACGAATCACTCCATCAACGAAGTGCGTGATACAATGCCTAGCCGTAGTTGCCCCAAGCTTGAGGTACTCGTCAACTTGATCAGCTGCGCAGTCATATGCTAACATCCTTATAGCCGTTGTGCACTTTTGCATTGCAGAAGCACCCAAACGCATACTAGCATCTGGATGTTGCTGGAAAAATCGATCAGTTTCACTTAGTTGATTCACTATCTTCATAAATAGAGGTTTCCGCATGCGAAACCTTCGTCGAAACTTATCATCACCATACAATGGTTGGTCGCTGAAATAGTCAACAACCAACTGGTCATGTGCTGCTTCACGATTACGTGGTATAACTTCCCTTCATTTGCTCTGACGTGGGACATCTTCTTGTTGTTGTTGCATGGTGGTGTTAACCACATATCTCAAAGCATCTTCCGTGATTTGTTGTTGCTGATTTCCCTCAATAAAATCAAGAACATGTAGTCATAGATTTCATCACTAGAAGTGGAAGAATTTGAATTACTACTCATTTTAAAATTACTAATATGTAGTAGTTGTAGTTGTGATAGTGTTGTAAGTGAAATAGGTCAATTTATAGAAAATTGAGATAAAAGTTACAAAAAATGATTTGCAATCTGGTAAGATAAGATTTTTTACCAGAAGATAAGACTTTCCTACAGAAGATAAGATTTTTTTGTAGATAAGATAAGATTTTTGGTAGATAAGGTAAGATATTTTTATCAGAAGGTAAGATTTTTTATCAGAGGGATAAGATTTTTGGTAGATATGGTAAGATTTTGTTAGAGTATTTAACATAAAAGATTTTTCATGTGACTAAACTTATATAAGGTGTAAGGATTCGAAAATTACATTTTTTTTGGTAGAAAACATAATATTATTACTCCAACACATAAGATTAAATTACAACATCTAATATCAACTAAAAATACAAACGATTAAGATTACTAATACGTACGATTACATCTTAAGTACTACAACAACTCCTTAAACATAACGTTATTAGCTAAAAGACAAACTCTTGATACAGAAACTAAAAGATAAAATAGTTAATACATAAAAATAACTAATACTTAACTTATATCTTTAAAAAAAACTTGTTACTAAACTCCTCTCTAAGCTTCTTGTACATGTCGGCTACAAATTCATCGAGGACGAGTTTTGCCATCAATGAATGTAACATGCCGAATTTCATCTCCTCCTCCTTCTGCTTTTTCCTATCTTTGCTCCTTTTGCTTATCAAGTCGATCATTTGTTCTCCTTGATCAAGCCTCTTATCACTACATTCGTCAAGAGTTGTATTGAAAGCTTCAAGGTTTATCGATGTAGAAAAATTACTACCTTCTGCAGCTAAACTCTTTGATTTTTTTTATACCCAGAGGCCGCTTTCTTCCAGCACCCACACTTGGTGATTCTGGTTCGGATCGTTTCCCACTTCCCTCGCTCTCCAAAGGAAGCTGTTGGACCATATGTGGGTCCCATTTAGGAAAATTTTGCATTGTTTCAAAACAAATGCATCAAAGTAAACTGTTTTCCATGATTGAGTTTTGCATAATAACCATGGGCATGTTGGACAGCATCCCTCCCCGAGTTTCCACTTTTCGGGTGTCGTAGGATATAGCCATACGCCATAACCCATTTTGAAATTCATTTATTGATAAAATCCCAACGTTGTTGCATGGACTTAATGGTTCGTTCTTTTATCTCTTCAAGGTTCTCTGCCCGTGCCTCTTCGTATAACTTCTCAATTGCAGCCCATAAACCGGCTTTAGTTCGTTTTGTATCTATGGTAACGTTCCCACCGGCATTGATGTAGTCTGAAACAAGCGCCTTATCTTCAGCCATACTCCATGCACTAGCTTTTTTTTTTTTATCATTGGGGTCTTCTCCAATAATGCCAACAACATCATCATCGAGATTTTCTAGATGTTGAGCTTCCCGCACATTTTTTGTTGGAAAAGCGGTGCTACTAACATTTACTGCTGGAGATTGATCCATGAGTTGGGTAAAATATTGGGACATGGGAAATAATGGGACATTTTGTGAAGATGAGCTCCCATGAAATTGGTGAGGAATTTGAGATGTATAATTCGGGTTATAGGTCTGTGGTGGCTACCAAACCATTGCAAAGCAGCTTGAAATTGTGGATTATTGAATATACTTGGATCAAAAGGAGGAGTGTTTGAATTTTATTGAGGGTTTGGTTATTTGGAAAATTCATATTTCTTCCATAATTATGATATTTTCATCCATTACAAAAGAAAATTATAAAAAGAGAGGAAGGAGTGAAAAAAGATGAAAATTTGAAGTGCATAAAAAATGGCCAAAATTAGGTTAAATTTATAGAGAAAAAAAAAATACAACCGTTGGTAAAATCAGTTTTTAGAAATATGTTACCGTTTGTGATTAATTACCATTATAATTTTTTTGAGCTAGTAAAACTATGTAACCAAAAAACAAAGGGTTGACACTTGTCAACCAATAGCTGGCCAATTTTAAAATATAGCCGATACTCCATGCTTTGCTATTTTGATGTTTCTGGTTGTGTCAGGAGCTTTTTTTTTTATTTTATTTTTTTTTATCTTTTTTATACTATAAAACGTTGTCGTTTGTTGAGAATTGTTTAGCAAACGGTGGGTTTTGACTGTTTTTATTCATCCTCTTGGCACAAAGGACGAGGTGCACAATCCTTCACCAGAAGAGGATTGTTGAGAATCCTCTTCCCGTTGAGGATCCTCTACATTACCCAATATCAAAGAGGACTACTTCAAATCAGCAAATACCCCATACAAGAGCACATATATCCTCACCAATATTTATGCTCTTATCAGTGATACCAGCTTGCAACCAGGCCGAACATCAACGAGTTCAGATTCAACAGATAAAGCCCATATAGTAATTACACCCAATATCAGTTGGCCAGATTTCCCTTTCTTTTTCAGTCTCCTCATTAGCCCCATGTAACCAATTTTCCCACTCAGAGAATGCATCCATGGCTGGCGAAGTCTTCTTTTCTCCTCCTGTAGCACCTCATCTGGTACCATTTCATCATCAGATATGTCCCCCATATCATTCTCATCATCAATCATTACCGTAGTGGATTGATTTGCTGATTTAAATTGTTCTTGACGCAGCATATCCCTGAATGATTTGGAGCCCTCCTCAGAATTATTATTCCCACCACCATTTCTAGTTGGCTGAAAATCAGATTTTTTATTTGCGTTTAGGTTTCTTGTTAGAACGATCAGTTTGATCTCTTTCCTCAGAAGATTGGATTTCAGCATTAGGTTTCTTTGAGTTTTCTGTAGAGAGCATTTTCAGAGCTTTTAAATTAGACCACTACCATTGAGCGTATATTTTGTACCACTGAATTGAAATTTCTAATATTCCTATCATCACAACCAAGATAAAAAGGTCCGTACGTAATGCTGCTGAGATGAAGAATTACCTCTACCGAAACAATGGTAATGGCGAGTCAGTAGAAGTGGATGAGAATACATTTAGGGACAAATACATTCTGGTTTGCTGTTTTCACATTCCTATTTTCCGAGCAGGAACCGATTCCCGTGTTCTTCGAGATCTGTTAATGACATTTTCCGAGTTGTACTCCACTAGAGAGGATGTCGAGATCGTAGTGGTTGCAAAGATGGACAAGTTGATGACCAATTTCGAGCTTCTTTCCGACCGCTTCTTGCTGGGGTTCCCTTCTTCGTGCCTTGTAGTGCCTTTCAAGGATTCCAAGCGTCGTGATTACATCTGCTATTACCTTCACCTCCGTGATCATCGTCGTATGCAATGCCTTCTTTTGGATAACAAGGGAAAGGAGAGAGACATATTATTCAGTGGATATCCAATATTCGCTATTGATCATGGAGCTGATGCCGTTCCCTTTACCAATGAGAAACTGGAGGAACTTGATGCAGATGACCTTCCAGAGTGGGAAACTGCCTCGACTTTCCAGCTTGAGGGACTCTTTGGGGTGCACTCCCTCTGACGTGCTTACAAATATTATTCCGGCTAGTGGCCGCGAGCAAATCACTATCTCGGAACTTAAAGATCAAGTTGTCGGGTTGTATTTGTGCGTTCAAGGAAATCTCATGACCATGCTCCAGGATCTCTGTCAGCAATGCAGAACGAAGCAGCTGTCATTTGAAGTTGTGCTGGTTCACTTACCCTTTTTTGGTTGTCTTGATCCTAAAGTTTGCATTTGGAATTTCGATAATATGCTGAAGCAGCATAACCTATCTTGTTGGCGCTTGCCGTTCAGGAACTCTTTAAGCTGTAGGCTGAACCGACTTATGGGCATACCCTTTGGGGATAAGCTCATCGTCGTGGGTCCACACCATGCATTTGTTGAACCTTATGGAGGGAATATCTTTCGCGCTTTGGGAATTAATGCATATCCGTTCTCTAGAGAGGGCCTTGTCCAACGGCAACTGGACAAGGTCAAGGAACACACCTTGGAGTCGTTGTTGGTTCATGGGTCACGGAATCATGTTCTACATGGCGACACAAAGATTGCTGTGTCAGAACTCCTAGGCAAGAATATACTTGTTTACTACGATTCTCTTGCTGGTCATAAGCTTTTTTATCAAGTTTTGACATGGTATCATGAGATCAAGGCAAACAATCCTGATTTTGAAGTGGTTTTTGTTCGCGAAAATAGCACTGCTGTACGAGAAGTTGAATCAGACCTACTCGCGTCAATGCCTTGGTTGGTATGCCCCTTTGACTTGACCCCGTTCACTCAGCTTTCCTCGAGAAGGCATAGAGTTTCACAGACCCCTTGTCGAGTTTGGAAAGGATGGCCGGATCTGTTCATTACAAGTTAGACAGCACCTAACCCGTCACGGACTTAAGGGGTTTCCATTTGGCGATTCACAGTTACGCCGTGATGACATCGAACACCTCCGGCAGAACTTTAAATTTATGCGCTGCTGCCCGGATTATTCTGGCTAATTCCTATCTAGTGAATGATATGATGAGCCACTTGCCTCTCTAGCTTTATTTCGAGAAAAAAAAAATATGCTTTTATTTGCTTGTAATTTTGAACAGCGTGTTTAGGATTTTACCATCCTTTTTGTCACTTTGGTTTGACTCCCTTTAGATTATTTGATTGCAAGTCAACTTGTTTCCTAGAAATTTTCTCTCTACTCTGTTTTATGCTTCAGTAGATATCATTCAGATTTCTTTGCTTTCATTCAATGCTTCAATTTCAAATATGGGATATATGTTGTCATGTTTGGAATGAATTAGTTGTTCAAAATTGGGTATGTGATTCGACTTTTTCCGTGTTTTGTTTCGATTTTTGGTTTGGGGTTCAAATTTTCTGATTTTTTTTTTAATTAATGTGCGTTTGGAGTTTGATTTTTCTAGGTTTTTGTGCTCAAATTTGAGAGATTATTTGGCGAATTTTCTGGTTTGATTTGGGGTGATTTTTGTGCTCGTATTTGTGTTCGATTGGTTGTCTATTTTGTGTTCCAATTTTTGCGATTTTTGTGCTTCATTTGTTGTAGATTTTGGGTCGAATTTTGTCTTATTTTTGCTCGATTTTTGCTTGATTTTTGTTCGAATTTTGGATTTCAGGCCAGAAGTTAATTTTTCCTTGTAATCGTTGATTACCATTGACCTCGCTGAAATCACCTGGATTTTTTCATTTGTGAGAATAGGTATATTTTTTTATTAATCTGTTATTGACTATTATTTTGTTGTTGATTTTTAGTTTAAGTGAGGTTGGATCTTGATGTTTGATTATTTTGCGCTTCATTTGAAATTCAGATGAAATTGCGTGAGTTTGTTTGTTGAGAGTATAGTATGTGCTTGAAATTTGGAGTAAGTTTTGTAAATATTGATTAGATTTTTGTGACTGCTGTTGTTGCGGGAGCAGTTGTGGCTCACTCCATGCTGCAGTTTCTAATTAGTGTGTCGAGGTTGTGAAAGAAAGCTATTATCATTCCCACTCAGAACTATGCGTGGGTAATCTATGCTGGTAATCAGGTAAATGATCCACAATGATGAGTTGATTTCTTGCAAAGTTGATTTAATAACACATCTGTGTTTCGTGAAAGAGTTTGGTGTCTTTGGTACATGTCATGACAATTTTGCCTCTAATTGCATTTGACTGACATGAAGGCATAACTTCAGTTGATAACTTGATGCATACTTTGCACTTGGATGCCGTAACTGATTGACTGTTGAAGTTTTAGTGTATTACCAAAAACTGTAGAAATTCTAACTTGCTATCCTATATGTTATATTCTCTTGTTACAAGTGGTTCTTGATTTTGAATCAAAAATGCTGAATGGGTAGTCTAATTTGATAAGTGAACACATGCTTGTATCAAACACGAATATCAAGTCTAGTTAACATTAATTATGACAAAGCATTAGTTAGAATTCAATATGTTTGGTGGATTTTACATGGTATGCTTTTATCTATGTATCTAGAGTGACAAATTATATTAGTGGTTATTAGTAAAGGAAGCTTAGATGATTTATAGTGGATTGATTCTTCTTAACTCTCTATGTACTTGACAAGAAATGTGAGCACTAGTTTTTCTCTGTTTTTAATGTTTCCCACTTCAAGTGCCTTGAATGTTATTGGTTGAAAAGATGTGACCAATTAGAATTGATTCCATCAACTCTATAAAGATAATATATCTCTTTGTTATAAAGCTCGATCAAGCTTAATCTGAAGCGAGACATTTGAAGTTGCTTATTCTCTCGTGGATGATTTGTGTCCTTGTCCATCCTGGTTAATGATTTCGAACAAATTGAACCACTGACAACACTAAGCTGTGTTAATTAACATGGGTTTGGTTGTGTTTTCTACTTATTTATATTTTTCCATTTGCTCTTGTACAAAATGGGTATCTTTTGTGTTACATATGCTTGTTTTTAATGGTGTTTTGGTGTCTCATTTAATTGTTTTAAAGGGGTTCTTTTACTGCTATTACTAAGATTTTAATAAGGCTCCTTGTTGTATATGGCTTGTATTTTTTTGGCATTAGAATTGGATTATCAAGGTCTATATGAAAGGGATTTTAGGGGGTTTCAATATGCTGTTTTGGCTACTGTTTTGATTTGGTTATATGACTATTTGTTCATGGTTGACGATTAGAGATGCTAATATGCAACACTAAGGTATTGCAGCGTTTTGTTATCCTTTTTTTAGTGTTATTGCTGCTGAATTTGCTGATGTGATGGTATCTTTCAGATCTGGCTTTGAACTCTTGTGTGAGCTGTATAAGCTGCATCGCGTGACAAGTCTTATGCTGTGTTAAAGGTTATAGTAACTACTAAGTCATTGTTTTGTTACTGCATGTTTTGTACCTGGATCAATACTTGCTTTGCAACGTTGCTTACTACTTTTCTCGTTACATTGTAGGTGGCTTTTTTGCATCATGTACACAACTATGCTCTCACTACGTATGGCCCTGCTGCTCTTGGTGTTGCTGGTGCGGCTGTAGTTCATGCAGTAGAGTTACTTCCAGGTTAGTTTGCATCTTGTTAAAATGAGTTTCTTCTTCTTTTACTCCTACTTAGTGTTTGTTTTTGCCCTCCACCCCCTCCCCTAATCTCATCTGATAAAAATGAGTTGTGATCTAATTAATAGAATGGGTGATTAAAATAAAATTGTGTTGATTCCAGGAAACTAGCATATTTTTGTGTAATTAGCTCTTTTTGTCACTGGTTATGACAGTGTGTGAGAGTTTTGGACTTTTCAATTAGGATCTAGTTGATTCAACTTATGGTTTTTAATGTGGGTGCTTGTGTGTCTATAATATGAGATGCCGGTGCATTACACATCTAAACTCCCTAGTTTTTAAGGTTCCTGTGCATGATTTTTGTAATCTTGGTGGTCATAGCCTACATTATACTACTACATTTTTAATCAAATGCAACGGTCAATATAGAGCTAATGCAACGGTTACGCACAATATCGTTGCAATAGATAGGTCTAATACAACATCTATGTTATAGCCGTTGCAATAGCTTTATCTAACGTAACGGATATACACTAATGCACAACACACTCAAAACTGTTGTGTTAGGGTATTCTAACGCAACGGTCATGAAAGTATCACACAAGTGCGTAGTTTTAATTAGTTTCCCTCCCATATTTTTCCCCAAAATTTCAAAACCCCTTATTTAATATCAGCATATTTTCTCTCTTCTCTTGAAACGTGCATCTTCTTCCCCTTTCAAAGCTGATGTCATCTCAACCATAAGCAGTGTAGCTGGCTCAGCTCTGGTGGTTAGTGGCTTGTGACCTAAAACAGAAAAGAAGACTGCGGTGGCAGACGTGACAATTGGTAGAGGGTTTTGAAGTGAGAGAACAGGTTTTGGGTTTTGGGGAAAATAATACGGTTTTCATCCCAACAAGGTTCTAAATTGCTTCACAAAGCAACTCAATCTTCTCCCTTTTCCAGAATTATTCCTAATTGCTCCTCCAATTTTCACAAATAATTAATGGTTCTGCACTTAATATTCAATTAAAGCCATGACACGGCGAAGGATGCGCAGGCCACGACGAATGGCGGCGCTCAGACCATGGCAAATGACAGTGCTCAGCCACGGTGTAAGCCAATTCCTTCAATTTATTTTAATCTTAATTATGCAATTAGGGTCCTAATTTTCTATTCGGCCCAAAATTATGTAGTTAGGGTTTTCAATCTCCTCACACCTAAGTTGAATTTGCCTGATGTATGCATTTTTAATCGTTCTTTATTTTGCAGACTTTAATGGTTCGTCAAATAATTCACCTTATTTCTGCTATAGGTTATTGATGATAAATTTTTATAATACCATATGATGCAATGAACTCTTTTCCCTTGCTACAACATGGTAGATTGGTAACCAACTACTTCGTCTGCTGAATCAGCTAAAAGTCACAATTAAGCTGCTTTGTCATTATGGGGAATTATTGGACTTGACAAAGGCTACTGATATCTATCATTTCAGGACAATGGGGGCAAGATTTGAACAAATTACATACCTTCTCTTTTAGATGAACTCATTATTAATTTGATGTAATGTTGAAATGTAATTTCTGTGTTTAATATATGAACTTTTTTCCATCAATCTCATTGGAAAATGTTGAGACAACGAGTAACTGGTGTCCTATTTATAATAGTTTTTCAAATTTATAATTATATGTGGAAAATACTTGGCCAATTCTCCATGTGGGACAATCATTTCCATATTCATTTTGAGGGATTCTTCTTGTGGTGGTAGTGGTTGATAACTAAAAATTTGTTGCCTTTGCAGATGATCATACTCTTATATATATACAAGTAAATTTTTTACTTGTGAATTTAATTTTCTTGTTGATTATGACAGGAAGATTGCGAGTATCAGCTCTTATTTTTCTTATATGCTATTTAAGATGCTATAACATTAGTTCTCATTTGTCTTTCATTTACATGATCACATATTTGATGCTACATTTATTTGCCGAAGTTGATGATAATGGTGTTTGTAGGTATTGAAGTGGGAAGATGTAGGAGCATGCAGAAACGTAGAAAAGCCAAAGAAGGGTGAAATCTGTGTGAAAAATAAAGTAATTGAGCTTCATTTTGTTGATTTTTTACTTCAGCAAGGGAGTTTATAAGGTTCCAATATTAAATGTCTTATACTCCAGGTTAGCCTATATTATTTTTAATGCAATTTCATTTTTTTTTTCTTTTTTTTTTTTTGTTGTAGCCTCTTTGGTAGGATTGTCCATTTAAACCATCCCATAAATGGTTTGGCTTAGTTAATCTTATTCTTGTTTATGTAGTTCTAATATTAAATTTTTAGTCCTTAAGTACTGTGTGCTTTTTTAAGATTTGAGGAAAGCACTATTTCTACTAGCCTTCCTAACAGATATGCGAACAATGGCGCAAGTGCATTTGTATTTAGTAAAGTGGGGTAGATGCTACTCTGAACTTTGATTTTGGGGTACCATATAAAATAGCTAAGTTAACCTTTATAACAAATGGTATCTATCCTTCAAATTGTTTTATAGGTCAAGCTAAATGAGGCCTTTCTAGCTTAAAATTGTAAATTCATATAGCCTGTCGTGCCTAAGTTTGAAATAGGAGAACCTTGATCTTAACGTATCATAATTCTTAGATATTTCATTAGAAGCAACATATTTTAAGGCTTTCTAGTGTTCAGTCAGGACAACAGGAGTGCTAAAGTTTCCTTGCATAAGCTTGTCATTCATGTAATTCAAAGAGTTCAGATTTTTAGATAATCAACCAAGCCCAAACTTGTGTTCATGTTCTGATCAAGATATATGGGAGGTATATAACAGCAATTGAGTCCAAATGCAATAAGTGCAGAAGTAAAGGCTGGAGATTGCTTCCTGTGAGCCCCCTTGTGTTTTTGTATTCTTGTCACTATATACCTGGTGACCTGTAAACCTTTGTTAAAGAAAGGGATTTACGGGTCTGGTAAATGCTGATAGTTTATACAGAGGCTGGTAGTATATATTTGTTTAGTTCTGATAACATTCGTAAAGAATGCTGGTAAAGAATACGATTTGATTTGAGTGTTGGTAGTTATTGTTGTGATGTGCTCTTTTGAACTTTGCCTGGTTTGTAGCAGCTAATTGCTTGTTCATCACAGGGCTGATTTATGAATCTTAATGACAAATAGGGTTTATTTTTGGAATTAGTACTGAAATCAGAATTATAGGCTATCCATTTCTTATTTTTATGCATTTTTACATGCTACAGTAGAGAATAGCTCTGTTTCTGTATAGTTAATTTGATAAACATCATATTATCATTTTTATGTTGGAAATTGTTTTTTTTTTTTTTTAATCAGTAGTCTGTAATGGCAGGATTCAAATAAGCATTAATGATAAAAGTGGAATATGCTTGTTGACGTGGACTATTGCATAGCAAAAGCAATCATGCTTGGGAAAAAGGCACAAGATGGTAAAATTATCTAAACGATGGAGAAGAAAGCAGCACAATGAAGATGGAGAAGATAAAACTGTCAAAAAAAGTTTTGTAAGTAGTTGAAGCTGAGAGGCCGCTATCAGAATGGAGCCTAGAAAACAGAATGCCTGAATTGATCATATGAGTGTGCTGTGCATACATCATGGCAAGACTTAATGGGACAGAACACTCAATGATTTAATTTAGATATTTTTGTCTTAGTTTAATTAGTGACATGTAGTTTTGTAATTTTCCCTAAGGGTAACAATGTACAAATCCTCAGTTTATATTAATAAAATTTTGATTTAATTGTCTTAAAGAGATTTATTTATTATTTATTTATTTATTTATTTAATTATATATTTATTTATTATTATTATTAATATTATTATGGCCGTTGTGTTAGAAATTTGGCCGTTGTGTTAGCTATATATGGCCATCACATTAGCTAAATATACCTAATAGGCTAATACAACGGCCAATAGGGTGCTATTGCATTAGATGTATAGCTAAGTAACGGCTATAAGTTTACCGTTGCATTAGGTCTATGCAATGCCAGCAGATGCCACGGTACATGGCCGTTGCATTAGGCCTAACGCAAAGGTTTTTGGCACCTAATGCAATGGATTTAGGGGTTGGATTAAGTACAAGTCTGCATGCTACTTCATGGAAATATATTGTCACAACCCATCTGCTATATTGAATATTGGACCAGCTGATTCTCAGATCACTTTTGTGTGTTTTGTATAGGATTTCAGAAGTTCGATCAGTCTCTCAGACTTTGAGAAGCAACGTGCCAAAACTCGGAGTCGCAATAACCAGTGACTGATGAGTAAGGAGACGAGCATAAATTACTTGTATTTTCTTCGTATAGCTGGTGGTGAGATATTTCAAATTATGGCTTGCAGTTGAAACATGGTGCTACTGCAGCGAAAGAAAATTCAAGATAAAAATTATTGATAGGATTTTTTTTTTCTTTTTTTGGTAAGCCTTAAACAATGCATTTAAATATGATGTAGTTGGTTTTTTTTTTTTTTTTTTTTTTTTAAATGCAGAAATAAATTAATGATATTAATAGAATAAAAATACTGAAATACCCTTTTCCAAAATTAAAAGACTGAAAAAAATGACCATTGCTATTTCATGTTCAACAACCCTCTTTTTTCAGTTTATTTTTCAATTCATTTCATTCTCAATTTCTACCTCTTGAATCCCTAATCCCTCAAAATCCTTCAATCTGAGCCCTAGAGACGAAGAAATTGTTCACCATTCATAAATCATCCGCTCTAAGGTTTGTTTTTTGTTTAATTTATTCATGAATTGTTGTAATTTATTCTTTAATTGTTGTATAAATGGTTATAAGTAAATTTGCTATATGATTTTGAAAAATTTTAGATCGTACAATTGTGCCCAAATTGACAAGCTTGTGACTATTCTTTCTGAGTTGTAATTTTTCATATGAAGTGGCTTGATTTTTTTATTTTAATTCGGGTATTAATAAAATCATTAATATTGGAAGAACCCAATTAAAATTAGTTTAATAGATTGAAATTTGTTGAAGAATTGGGGAATTTGGGATTGTAAAGTATAAGAATTTCAATGATTATAGATCAAGACTACGCATAATTGAGTCGTTAAATTGAGAAAGGTGATAGTGTATTGCCATGCCCAGCAAATGGATTCAAGAAAGGAAAAATTGTTAAAAATAATCCCAACTTTTGCCTGTTTGCTCAAAATAATCCGAACTTTGGGGGTCATTCGCTCAAAATGATCCCAAGTGCGTGACCGATAGCCTGTTAAAGAAGGGTTTTTTTATTTTTTTATTTTTTGTTTCAGTGACACGTGTCACCATGTGATTGGTTAAATATTAAAAAAAAAAACAAAAAACAGCCCCAACCCACGACAACCCCCACCACCACCTTGGACTTCCGACGGCTTTCTCCCACCGCCCAACCCACCCTAAAATACCGCGCCAAGCCTCCCCTCCCCCGTGTCGATGCCGGTGCCAGCTCTGCCGCCTCCCATACCCCCCTAAACCCGAAACCCCAAAACCACCATTATCAACAACCCAAAACCCGTAAAAGCGCTCAACCTCTCCGCAAAACACCACAATCGGCCCCCCACCCTCGACTAGGGTTTCGAGGGTGGGGGAGGGCCGATTGTGGTGTTTTGCGGTGGGGCTGGGTGTTTTTACGGGTTTCGAGTTGTTATTGTAGGGGTTTTGGGGTCGGGTTTAGGTGATTTAGGGGGTACGGGAGGGGAGCTTCAGCGTCGACACGCCGGAGGAAGGGTCTGGGTGCCGGCGGAGGTGGGGGATTCCGGTAAGGGTCGTAGCTGGTGGTGGGGAAGGTGGTTGTGGGTGGGGCTAGTTTTTTTAAATTTGTTTTAAGTTTTTCTTTTTATTTTTAATATTTTTTAAGTTTTTTTTTTATTTTTCCACCATTCATGTGGTGACACGTGTCACCTAAACCTTCTATAACAGGTTGGTGACCGGTTGGAACCATTTTGAGCGAATGACCCCTAAAGTTCGGATTATTTAAAAATAATTCAAAGTTAGTATTATTTTGAGCAAACGGGCAAAAGTTGGGATTATTTTTATCAATTTTTCCTTTAAGAAATAATGAGCTTAAGAGGGGTGAGGTTTGCTCTGAGATAGACATCTTTATAACCTTATCAAACTTTTTGAGGTTTTAGCAAACATAAGTCCATGTAACCTCATTAATAAAAGTATTTTGCTGGATCTTCGGAAAGTATAGAATAATCACATTCAACTTCAACTTGCTTCCATTAGCCAAAGTATAGTATAATTCACATTCACATTCTACTTCAACATTCAACATTCAACATTCAACATCTCTGTAGAGATGTTGGAATTATATAAATATATAGTTTAGCATGATTTGATTTTCGACTAATAATGCCTATATGAAAGCCAAGATCGTGATAGGTATTAAATTCAACTTTCTTTGTTTTCTATTGTCCATCTATTTATTATTTATGTTTTACTCGGTAATATCTTTTGGCATCTTTGGTGATGGTACCTTTTTGTAGGTATTTAGTTATTATAATCTATTTTTTTCAAATGTCACAAGGTTGTAGAGGTGGATGTTCGAAAAGTAAGAAGTCAAAAGAGAGTGCTAATATCAATGAGGATATTCTTATTCCACGACTACGTCCTACCGTATCCAATAGGGCTAAGCGTGTTAAGACGAGCAAACTTCTTTCAATTAATATGCAAAATCCTAAATTTAGACCTAAATACAGTGAAAAAAATAAAGGGGAACAAGAATATTTGGATTCTTTTGAAACAACAATTCAGCAATCCGTTCATGCTAGTGAAATGAGTTCAGAAGTTCCGTCTTGGATTAGGAAGGGAAAGGGTTTAATGTCAAAAATAGATTTTCTAACCAATGAGGATGAGGAGGAGAGGAAGAGGAGGAGGATGAGCCACTTTAAAAAAAAAACAATTTGGTACGAAAATGAGTAGTTATCGAGTTAACTTTGAGGTGCATGGGCGATTTGGGGGTGATAGACAGGTTTTCCTTGAAGACTATAATGAGTTGTAAGATTAAATTGATAGTGACCCAACAAATCCCGAATTGCTAAAGAGTTTTCGTGGTCACGTTGCATACTATATTTGGCATGGTCGAGTAAGTCTAAGTAGTTTTATTATTTAATTTGTAGTATTTGATTTTTCGCTAGTAAGCAAGCTAACGAGATCCCCAGGAGTTGTGTCCGTACTCACAGACAAAGCAGTTAAAGCATTCATTAGAGAATTCCTATGTTCCTTAGAGGTACTTAGGAGTTCCCAAATGCTAACATTCGCCTTAGATTGGCGAAGTTGTTTAACCAATGAATCCTCTACCTCAAGTGGAGGTGGTGCTGGATTTTGAGTTTGACCTTGGATGGTTGAAGATTCATTTGGTTGTGTTTGATAGATTTTCCCAGAACAAGTTATGTGATCAATCTCGTTTGGATTAGTCATAGTACACGTGAACCGATATTCTTCTAGAGGTGTTGAATGTGCCTCCATTTCTAAATGTTCCATGAGTTGTGCTTGATGCTTTCACATTTCGTGAAAATGGCAACTAGTGGGGCCCGATTAGGATAGTAAATACGGACTGCGATCCGTTATGTATTTTTGTAAATCTAAATACGGTCTGCGTACCGTTGCGTATTTTTGTACCTTAATATTTAGATTAATCCTAGTCGTAGTAGCTAGTAATTTTATTTTGGCAAAGATGTCTCAAAGACGGCGTTTCTATGAAGACGAACCAAGATGAAGACTCTTGTAGATTTGAAGATTTCAAGGGGTCATGCTAGTTGCCAAATGCATCTTATTTCATGTTTTCTATAAATAATTGTTCTTATATATATGTGAATGATATGTTAGGTGCATGTTTAGGATTTCAAATGTTGCGATGATTAATTGAGTTCACTTAAATCAATGGCTAATCAATAGTTGGTTTGTTAAAAATGTCTTGTTTATATGTTCTATAGAATTGCATATGTTTAGACAAATTAATGATACCGCCAAAAGGGCTAAGACCATCGAGTCGAATCTAACCTACTTGTGGCATTGTCGTCTTGGCCATATTGACGTCAAACGCATCAAGAAACTTCTTCAAGAAGGTGTTCTTGACTCATTCGACTTGGAGTCGTTTGAAAATTGCGAAGGATGTCTATTAGGCAAGTTGATAAAGCAGCCATTCTCCAAGTTGGGAGAAAGGGCAAGTGACTTATTGGGTCTAATACATACGGACGTATGTGGACCAATGAGTACACCCGCAAGGCAAGGTTATCGATATTTCATTACCTTCACCGAAAACTATAGTAGATATGGTTATGTCTACCTTATGTCGAATAAATCTGAATCTTTTAAGAAATTCAAAGAATTTCAGAGTGAAGTTGAAAATCAACTTGGCAAGAAAATAAAAGCACTTCGATCGGATTGAGGTGGCGAGTATTTGAGCCATGAATTCGACGATCACTTCTACAATAAATCCGAGAACAAAGTGTTTGTTGCTCGTGATAGTGTCTTTTTGGAGAAGGAACACCTTTCTAGAATGACAAGTGGGAGAAAATCGAACTCGACGAAGTTCGAGAGGTAGAGCAACAAAGCCAACATGAAAAAACTGACAATCAAAGTGCTTTAGAAGCAGCTGTTGACATTGGTCAGAGTCAAACCGACAATGCAAGTGCTCAACCTATTACCTTGCGTAGGTCGCAACGGCCAAGATCTCAACCAGACAAATACCTTGGTATTGTCTTAACCGAATATCAATACATCCTATTTATGGATGGAGATGA